GGTAGAGGACAAAGTCTCCCACCCACTGGATGAGCTGCTGCAGGGACTGAAGGGGGGGGCCGTCCAACACAAACTCCTCCGTCTTCAGATTGATCATCACTTTGTCAATATCTGAGGACATCAATCAGAGATCAATATTTTAATGCCTTCTGTCCCCTCACCTGTCCCTCAGGTCCCTCACCTGTCCCTCAGGTCCCCCGGGTCCCTCACCTGTCCCCCCGGGTCCCTCACCTTCCCCTCAACTTTCCCTCATGTCCCTCAACTTCCCCTCATGTCCCTCAGGTCCCTCACCTGTCCCTCAACTTTCCCTCAGGTCCCTCGGGTCCCTCACCTGTCCCTCACCTGTCCCCAAGGTCCCTCACCTGTCCCTCACCTGTCCCCCAGGTCCCTCGGGTCCCTCACCTGTCCCTCACCTGTCCCCCAGGTCCCTCGGGTCCCTCACCTGTCCCTCAGGTCCCTCACCTGTCCCTCAACTTTCCCTCATGTCCCCCAGGTCCCTCACCTGTCCCTCGGGTCCCTCACCTGTCCCCCAGGTCCCTCGGGTCCCTCACCTGTCCCCCAGGTCCCTCGGGTCTCTTACCCGTGTCAGTGTTCTTGGCACAGATCTCGGCCAGCCGGTCTCCTGGACTCTTGTCTGGTGTGTTGAGGACGTGGGGCCTCAGCAGAGACTTTAAGGTGGAGCTGATGGCGATCAGCAGCAGTTTGGCGTGGAAGTCGCAGGCTCGAGCCGCCGTCGCCGTGGAGAGTTTACAGAGAGACGCCTTCACCGCCACGATACGCGTCGCCAGGACCTGGACAGACATCACTGTGCTTAAAGACAGCAGCTACACTGAGGCATCATGGGAAGTTCCTGAGAACATCAGGAAGGTAAACAGTGCAAACAGTTAATGCGGTAAAAGATGTCGCAGCTGAAGGCGGCAGAGATGTTTCCAGGTTCAGCAGCTGTCTGTCCATCTGAATATAAACAACCGCCTGTAGTTTAACCTGAACCCGAGGCCGCTAAGCGTCAGCAGGTACGGTGATTACAGTACACGTTAATGTAGTCGGCTCTACGGTCTGATCTACCGCCGTTCTCCCATCATGCCTTGCTGACCTGCTGCAGCGCCTGGTTCTGCCTCATGTACTCCTCGTGCAGCTTCTCCACCAGGTTGTGGACCATGGTGGGCTGCACGTGCAGCAGGACGTCCCACCAGTCGTAGCCCGTCACCATGCAGTACTCCAGCAGGAACAGCAGGTGGCGCAGGGTCGTGTTCATCTCCAGCACCTGACCCATAGAGGGCGACACTCGCAGCATGTGGAGCTGAGGACGAGACAACAACAACAACATTAACCAGCTGACAGAGAAACACCAGAGGCCACAGGGGAAAGTCTTTTTCTTCCTTCACAAGTTCAAACACGACTCAGTCTGAGTGAAACGAGCGCTGCTGGGCTGAACTCGCCGAGCTCTTCCTGACTCAAGTTTGGACGAAGCTGCAGACGAACCAGCGTAAAGACGTTTTAGTGTTTGACAGTCAGGAAGGAGACCTGACGGCTGAGTAAATCCACCCGAGACTCGGGGGCTCTACAGGTAGGCGACCCCACAAATCCTGAGAGAACGCCAACTACCGGGCGAACAAACATGGACGCCAGCATGTTGGTATGCAGCCATATTAGTGGTGATAGATAAGACGCCTGCCTTTGGTGTGAGAGACCAGGTTCAATCCCCCACTGTTACCCGTCCACCAATGTGTCCCTGAGCGAGACACTTAACCCCTCGTTGCTGCGGAGGCGTGCGACCTCTGATATAATTAGCAGCTGTAAGTCGTTTGGATAAAAGCGTCGGCTAAATGAATAAATGAATAAATGATGATAATATTTCAGGTGAAGCTCACAGCTCAGTATAACAGAGGACTCCTGAATGCATCACCTCCACCTTCAGAGACAGGTGAAGACAGAAAGGTTCCAGGTCTGAAGGGCAAAGAGATCCTGCAGAGGCTGAAGCGCTCTGACCTCCAGCTCTCCGGGCGCGTGTGCCCTCACCTTGCCGTGGTTGTCGACTCCAGCCAGTGCCAGAGAGGTCCAGGAGAACTGGAGGGCCTTGAAGTGAAGGGCGGGGCCTCCGGTTCTTTGGCGTTTGATGGCGGACTCGTCTCCGGGCCTCTGACCTGAAGAGGACGAGGAGCCGTAGAAAACCCCCATGGTGTGGAGGGAGAGACGGTGGAGGATCTGAATGCTGCCGTCGTGGAACGCCAGAGCCAGACCTGAAACACAGGGAGTCTGCAGGTGAGGCGGGTTTAAATGTTCTCCAAGACCCAGGTCTGGTTTCAGAGGTGGGACCGAGGTACGAGTTCATGATGGGTAACAATGAGTCATAACTGTTCTGGTCCTCACCGAGTCCGGGGCAGAACTTGGTGTCCGACGCCACCTTCAGGTCGGTGTTGGAGATGGAGATGGGCAGTTTGGGCAGCGCGACGGCCGACACTCGCTCCAGATCGTTGGTGGTGGTCAGGATCCGCCACTTCAGGATGGTGGGCTGCTTCTCCCCGACTGGACACGGCAAGGAGGTCAGAGGTCAAACACCGTCACGCCAAAGCTGTTAGAACCAGATAGACCGGTGTGCGTTTCTTACCGACTGGTGACCGGTGCTGGAAGATGTTGTTGACAGGAAGTCCCTCCTTCCTCAGGGACCAGCACTCCACGATGCTGCCGCTCTGATTGGACGCACACAGCAGAACCTGCAACACACACATTCTGTCAGGTTCTCTGGTTCTACAGCTGCTGGAGGTTCGGTGGGGCCGACTTATCTGTGCTTCATGTTCTCAGATCTGTCAGAACCGAACGTCACTACTGTTTGGTTCAGGCACTGAAATTAGAACCCGCCAAACATGGTACACCGTCTGCAGCAAAATCATCAGGCCATCTTCCACCGTGGTGCATTCAGAGTTCTCTCTCAGGTTCTCCTGGTTACCTGTTCAGAGTTCTCTCTGGTTCTACTGGTTACCTGTTCAGAGTTCTCTCTGGTTCTCCTGGTTCTCTCTCTGGTTACATGTTCTGAGTTCTCTCTGGTTCTCTCTCTGGTTCTCCTGGTTCTCTCTCTCTGGTCCTACTGGTTCTCTCTCTGGTTCTCCTGGTTACCTTTTCTGAGTTCTCTCTGGTTCTACTGGTTCTCTCTCTGGTTCTCCTGGTTACCTGTTCTGAGTTCTCTCTGGTTCTCCTGGTTCTCTCTCTCTGGTTCTCCTGGTTACCTGTTCAGAGTTCTCTCTGGTTCTACTGGTTCTCTCCCTGGTTCTCCTGGTTACCTGTTCTCAGTTCTCTCTGCTTCTCCTGGTTCTCTCTCTCTGGTTCTCCTGGTTACCTGTTCAGAGTTCTCTCTGGTCCTACTGGTTCTCTCCCTGGTTCTCCTGGTTACCTGTTCTGAGTTCTCTCTGCTTCTCCTGGTTCTCTCTCTCTGGTTCTACTGGTTCTCTCTCAGGTTCTCCTGGTTACCTGTTCTGAGTTCTCTTGGTTCTCCTGGTTCCTCTCTGGTTCTCCTGGTTACCTGTTCAGAGTTTCTCTGGTCCTACTGGTTCTCTTCTGGTTCTCCTGGTTACCTGTTCTGAGTTCTCTCTGTCTCCTGGTTCTCTCTCTCTGGTTCTCCTGGTTTCTCTCTCTGGTTCTCCTGGTTACCTGTTCAGAGTTCTCTCTGGTTCTACTGGTTCTCTCCCTGGTTCTCTGGTTACCTGTTCTCAGTTCTCTCTGCTTCTCCTGGTCTCTCTCTCTGGTTCTCCTGGTTATGTTCAGAGTTCTCTCTGGTCCTACTGGTTCTCTCCCTGGTTCTCCTGGTTACCTGTTCTGAGTTCTCTCTGCTTCTCCTGGTTCTCTCTCTCTGGTTCTCCTGGTTCTCTCTCTCTGGTTCTCCTGGTTACCTGTTCAGAGTTCTCTCTGGTTCTACTGGTTCTCTCCCTGGTTCTCCTGGTTACCTGTTCTCAGTTCTCTCTGGTTCTCCTGGTTCTCTCTCTCTGGTTCTCCTGGTTACCTGTTCAGAGTTCTCTCTGGTCCTACTGGTTCTCTCCCTGGTTCTCCTGGTTACCTGTTCTGAGTTCTCTCTGCTTCTCCTGGTTCTCTCTCTCTGGTTCTCCTGGCTACCTGTTCAGGGTTCTCTCTGGTTCTACTGGTTCTCCTGGTTACCTGTTCTGAGTTCTCTCTGATTCTCCTGGCTACCTGTTCAGGGTTCTCTCTGGTTCTACTGGTTCTCTCCCTGGTTCTCCTGGTTACCTGTTCTGAGTTCTCTCTGGTTCTCCTGGTTCTCTCTCTCTGGTTCTCCTGGTTACCTGTTCAGGGTTCTCTCTGGTTCTACTGGTTCTCTCCCTGGTTCTCCTGGTTACCTGTTCAGAGTTCTCTCTGGTTAGGAACTTGAGGTGGGTGACGGCGGGGTACTTCTCCCTCCTCAGAGGGTCGGTGGTGCAGCGCAGGAACAGGGACGGTAACAGTTCTGTGTCGATGCGACACTTCTCGCTCACCACGCTCACCACACCTGCACACAGAACGTCAGAGAGGTTATCCACCCTGATGGTGGAACCAGTAAAAGGTCAGAGGTCATGGTGAACTGTTTAAACAGGGTTCCTGACCTTGTAGAACTGGACGGGGGACGAGCTGCTGCCGTCGGTCGCTGCCACCACGATGTTCCCTCCCCGGTGAAGGCTATGTCGGCTAACGCCACTCTTCTCGTAGCCGGCACAGACTTCGCTGGCGGTCAGCAGAGCGCCGCCCGGCTTCAACAACGACACAGTGACCAAACCGCTCACCGTCACCGCCATCCAGCCCTCCATCGGCTTCCCGCCAAACAGAGTCAGAGACGGCGAGAACTTCACCCGGGAAACTTCTCACCGAAGTTTGTCGAACCCGACTGAACCAAGAGAAAAGAAGAACCATTATGTCTCACTGTCTGACAGGTTACAGGTGAATATTGACATGTGACCATGTTTCAGCATTACCATCTCGACGTGCAACGCCAGCTTGACCATTGTGCAGCCAGCTCAGAGCTACGATTGGATCTCGTCCAGAGAGCTGGACAGGACGCTCTCCCAGCTGTTCACCAGGTGATCGGACATCGACCAGCATTTAATCTGTCCGTCACCGTCTGCAGACAGCAGCCTCGAACCTGGACACCAGCAGAACCAGATCTATGTCACACCTGAACTCTGACTGGCAGCCCGACAC